CATCCTACATCTCCACACCCACTCATCTCCTGAAGATTTGATTCTACTCACCATCCTGTCCCCGCTCTTCCCTGTTCCCCACCACCTCCTTTGTGCCAGAGCCCTGCCCCAGCTCTGAGTCCCCTGGCTCTTAGAAATCTTATCATTTAGGCTTTAAGTTCCAGGAGTCACCCCGTGATGAAGAACTGGCATAGCTCCGTTGAGCTATTGTGTTACTACTTCCAGGCCCTCAGGGGGTCACAAAGTGTCCCTGATGTCTGTAGTGGAATCCCACATCCATTAATGCAGTTACCTATAGCAGATTGCTCATATGTAAGGTATAACTCTTGTAGTACTATTAGTACTATGTGTCTAGAAGGATTGTTTCTAAGAGAAAATGTGTTTTAAGTTTTAAACAGTGAGTTATTCTGAATGAGGAGACCCCTATATTGGCAGTGAACTTGGATTCTGAAAATGAGAGTTCAAATTCTCGCTCTTCCGGTTCATAGGTATGTGTGACCACTTGTGTGATTACTTGGCCTCTTTTGGTCAAGGTTCTCTGTATAGACTGTAGAGAGAACAGCTGTCTCTCAAATGTGGTTATGGGGGGTTTAATGAGAATATAAGTTAAAGGGTATAATAAAATGTAAAATCCTGTATCAAAGGAATGTGGCTTTTTGGTGTTAACAGTCCACTGTGTTAGGTGGGGGAAAAAAAAAAGTTCTTGCCTTCTAGGAGCTCCTCACCCAGGGGGTAAGACAGTCATGGGCAATTCCATGAGAGTATGTGATACGTCTGTGGCAAATATATGTACATGTGATTGGGGGCACAGAGGAGAGCAACTATAATCTGAAAATGGACGGATAGGGGAGACTTCATGGACAAGAGACTTCCTGATCTGAGTCTTAAAGGCCAAGGAAGAAACATGCCCGGCAGAGAAGGAAGAAGAAGGGAAAGCCATTCCAGGTTGAAGGAGTGGCATGGGGGAATATGGTACATTCAGAAAGCTGCAGATACGGCTGGAGGTATGACTGGAGCTTAAACTCTCTACTTGTATTGCTTAGTTTGATTATTGAGACCACTTACCTAACTCTAAAAAGGCAATTTATTGCACAGTGGTTAACAACTCTAGAAATAAACTTGGTCTGAAACCTGGTTTGATCTTTTGCTAATCTGTTATGTCTAATTAAGAATTTCAACTTCACAGACTTTTAAGTTCAGTATGATGATCAAGGTACCTACTTCAATGGGTTGTTGCGATGAGTATTTGAAATAATGTTTGCAAATCTCCTGGTGTTTAATACACACACTATAAACATTAGCAGCAGTTTTTGTTTCTGTCTTGAAAGTTTTTAGAGTTACTTTTCCCCCATCAGTATTTTATAATCTACTTTCTAGGCTAGCTGTTTAGCAGTATTTTAAACACCAACTTTTGTTTGTTATAATGGAATCAGAATTTGATGAATTTTTAAAGATGGTCTAGATCAGTTTTCTGTGTTAAGAAACTGAGTCACAGTTAATCACCTGGCTGTCATGTCCTAGTGAATCTGTGACACAGCTGAGACAAGGATCAGGTCTCTTTCTATTCCAGAGTTCCTTCTATTGGCTTTGGAATAAATGTCAAAAATCACTCAGAGACAGTTTCTAGCAGAAAGAATATAAGTTAGCAGTACAGAAATCGGCATTTCTATAGATTTGCAGATGGGAAATCTAGGTTTTGAAGAAATGCAATATCCTTCTCTGGCTGCCCTCTGGTGGAAGTGCTATTTAGCAACACCACATGTGAAAGAGCCATGAGAGGCAGGTGATGAGGATCCAGGTAATTCTTAAAGGAGTGATTCCTTTGCCATCATTTCTTATATGGATGAATTCCTATTTCTGTTTATTTGGGTCTCCTCACTAAAGTGTGGGAATAGATTTTCATAATACCTGCCAATTAAACATGTTCTACTTCATTTATTCAAGAGGATCCGACAGATAGTTTGTTGAGCGTCTTTTGTGTACCAAATGCTAGGAATAGAAGCAGGAAGCATGTGCATTAGTGAAGTAAACAGATGTTGAAATAATAATCATACAAATAAATAATTATAATTAGTTAAATGCTATGCCTAAAAAGTACAGAGTGATTTATGACCATTAGCAATGTTTGGGAAGCCTCCCTTGAGGAATTAAAGTTTTAACTGAGAAAGGGAGTCTCAGTAAAGTAAATAGACAAAGATGAGTTATAGCAATGGAGAAAAGAATCTCATACTGAGGAAACAACATGTGCAAAGGCCCTGAGGAAGGACACAGTATGATCTCTCCTAAGAAATGAAAGACAACTAGTATATTTGGAGCAGAGAAAGCAAATATAAAATACAAATCTTGGTCATGAGAAGTAGAGGTATTTACTAGGCATCACCAAAGAAACCAAAAGGCACAGGAAGAAGTGAACCTCCTTCCAAAATAAACTGTGTGCTCTTAGTTAAAATTTTGTTGTTCTAAAGAGTCATTGTAAAGAAAATTACTTTAGAACCACTGTAATACTCTATTTGGGCACTTTAAATATGTATTTTTTTCACTTGATTTTTCTTCCTTTCTCTCCTGGCTCATTGGGAATTGAGGGAATATTTTGATGTGCTGGAGTGTTGAGATCAGGGACTTTTGTTGTGGATCAGTTGAACAGCCATAGAAATGACAGAGAGAATCTTATCCTGTTTTCTTGGCTGAGATTTTTGTGTGGGTGTGTGAGGTGCAGCTGCACTGTTGGTTTCTTGGCAATCAAGACAAGCAGTTCTCAGTGCAGTTCATGCTGAATGGGAAGAAACTTAAGAGAAAAAAGGCTACTTTGAATATATTAAATTCAGTGGAAAGCACCGAGGGCCTGAACCTTTGGCTGGTATTCTAAGTTATTTGGCTAAATGGATACAGCAGCCTCAGGCACATGTCCAAGCTTATGGCAGAAACACATGAAGGAGAGAAGATTTTTAAAATAGTCAAAGCTTTGTCTCAATAGAAAATTATCAATTACCATGTGTAATTTTTAAATGAATTTTTGCTAGTTAATTTTTCGTTTGTGATTTAAGCTTTTTCTCTAATGAGCACATAGTGAAAAAGGCAGATTATGAAAAATTAGCTTTGCTTGCAAAAGTGAACTCAGAATTTTCTGTAGTTTATCAGAAAGATGTTTCTCAGATTTATATATACACAGATGGGTTCTTAGGTCTGCTTTTATTGCTCACTTGTTTTCTTCATTCTCCTTTGACCTTTCTGTGGCCTATAAGCACTTTGTGTTCCCAGACCCTCAAATTAAATGCAGACAGTATGGAGCTCTTAATTTTTTAAGGACACTTGCATCCTTCCCTTTGGATAATCTTGTCATTGTCCTTTGTATTCTTCAAGCAGGAATGTCTGAGTCGCTCCCAGTCTTTAACTGTTTATTTCTCTACTGCTATTTAATATTAGTGCTCTCAGAGTAGCATAGTCAGGTCCTACAGTCGGTTGGCCTGGGTTCCTCTCCAGTCCTGCTACTGACTATCTTGGTCCCCTTAACTTTTTAGTTTCTCATCTCCAAAAATGGAGATAATCATGTTAGTGCTTCGTGAGGTTTGTTTGTTTGTTTTTAAATAAGGCCTAAAGGAAAAGATGAATATAACGAGCTTAACTCAAAATAAGTGTCCAAGAGAAGAGATGCTATGACTGGCCATTTTCTTCATGATTAGGGCCAGTCTTCCAGAATCCACTGTCCTGGGTGATCTCATTTAGTGTAAAGACCATCCAAATGCTGATGACTCTCAATTTTTATATCTTTGTTTCTAACCTCACTCTTCCTGAAGCCTCCAGACTTGTATAACTGACTGCTACTATATATCTACACTTAAATATCTAATACATACTTCAAATATAACATGTCTAAAAACAACTTTCCATCTCTGTCACACACTCATCTACTTGCCTCCCTAGTCTGTTCCTCCCCAGTCTTTCCTATCATAGTTAATGGTAACACCCTCTGTACTTTTTTTTTCTTTTTTTACTTTCCTGTAGCTACCAACCTTCATCCATTTCATGAGCACATCTAACAGCATTATCCCCAGAATATATCCTAAATCTGACCACTTGTCACCATATCCTCTGCTAACACCATAGTCCAAGGCAATAACCTCTCATTTGGACAGCTATATAAAGGGATGGCCTCCTTGTTGCTCTTTGTTTTCCTTCTTGTCTCCTGCAATCCATTCTCCACATTGAGGAGTAAACATAGATTTAAACACTTTGATTATTAACCCCCCCTCTCCCCCAAACACGGCTAGTTCATTCCAATTGTAAGGCCTTTACACTAGTTTTTCCTTCTCTTTGGGATATTTTTTCTCCCAGATCATCACAATGTTGGCTCCTTGCAAGTTTTGGTTCTCAATTCAGGTAATAGCTCCTCAGAAGCTATCCTGACATCTTTCCAATTTCTTTCTTAATAGTTGATCACTGTCTGAAATTTCCCCCACTTTCCTTTCTTGTCTTGTGAATTGCCCCCTCCCCTCTCCCATGAGGGCAAGGACTTTATGCATCTTGTTTACTACCATATTCCCAGTGCTTAGTATGGAACCTGATACTCAGAAGGTTTACAGGATTATATGGCTAGATGACGAAATGAAAGAATGAATGATTAGATACGTGTCCTGTAAGTGTTTCTGCAACCAGAGAAATTATGAATTATTTCATCCTGAATGAATTTTACATAGATGCTTATTTTAGAATTAACCATGCTAATATTTTTTTCTTTTTCTTTCATGATTTCTCTGTCATAGATTATAAGCTCTTAAGTGTAGGAGGTATGTCTCCATTGTTTTCAGCTTCTGATAGAATGCCAAATATCATTTTAGTACTTATTGTCAATTGAATTGAATTGAAAATTCAATTAACATCCTCTGAAATTATAGTAATTTTATATATGTGTGAATGTATATACATATAAATATATATGTAAATTATATAAATTTGGAAAGCAGAGGTGTTTAAAATATGCCTTCCCCTTTTATCTCTTGTAGTTCATAATTGGACCCTTGAGGACACGCTTCAGTGGTTGATAGAATTTGTTGAACTACCCCAATATGAGAAGAATTTTAGAGACAATAATGTCAAAGGAACAACGCTTCCCAGGTGAGTATTTATTATCCAAATGTATTTTTTTTCACTCAGGGAGAATCACATACTAGATGTTATTTTCAGTGCCAAATTTATAAGTTAACTTTGTGGCTGGGGGTTCAAAGGAAATATTATAAATATATCCATTTTTTAATTTTTTAAGGTGTGAATTTGCAAGTTTTAGTCAATTTTTCTTGTCTACATAATCAAGCTCTTTTTAAAATTTATTCCCAAAGAAGGTAATTTTGGGAATTAGAAGATAGGCCAACTACATCTTTTTTAGATAACATCAAAGGGCCAACCTCTGAGCATGTGGTAAATGTGACAAAAACATATTCATTTGATATGAATCCACCTTAATGAAAAACCTATTTGAATGGGTTAATGTACAGATCCTTCTTAATTGTATTTTTTAACAACAATAACCACTCCGTATTAGTGGTCATAAGTTAAACCTCAGAAAAAAAAAAAAAAAGTTTAATAAACAAAATGTAAATAATAACAACCATTTTAAAATGTGTATTACATAGAGGAACTCTATATTATCTCATTTAAGCTTCATGGTTAAAGTTAAGTATGTATTATCACCATTTTACAGATAAAAAACAATCATAGAGAAGTTAAATATGTTGCCCAATTCAGCATTTGAACCCAGATAGATCTTATACCAATAAGTCTAGAATGCCAGTTTATCCCTTAAATGTCTGGAATTATTTGTTACTAGTTTTCTAAATTTTATTTTCTAAATCTCCATTAGTTAACTTTAATAGTTTTTAAAGATTTTTTTTTTTTTTAAGATTTTATTTATTTGTGAGACAGAGAAGGTGCGGGGTGGGCGCGGGGGGAGCAGACAGAGATGGAGAAGCAGACTTCCCGCTGAGCAGGTGGCACAAGGGACTCGGGGCTCCGTCCCAGGACCCCGAGATCACGACCTGCGCTGAAGGCAGATGCTCAACCCACTGAGCCACCCAGGCGCCCCGTTAAATGTTAAAATTTGCAATGGTTCTACCAGAATCTGGCCCAGAAAAGGTTGCTTATTTTTTATTCTTCTCTCAAATTTGTTTCTTGAATCAAAAAAGACTAATCCCTTGTTAACCGCCTTACTGTTACATGCGATCAAATGTGCGTATGGCATTTCTGATCAGTTTGCTTACACTGTGTTCAAGGAAGCAGCTGCTGTTGCTTTGGACTTTGGATCCAGTTGGTGATTTTCTACCTCCTGTAAATATCCTCTGAGCATTGACATCAGTATTTCCGAATTTACTGTGTACATGACTATAATGATGAAATGATGGGAGTAAGAGTCAGTTCAACGAGTGTGTGTTGAGTATCTTCTGTGTTGTTCATGGTGTAACTAGATGCTGGCAAGAAGACAAAAATGAGATACAGTTATTGCTTATTTATTTATTTATTTATGAGAGAAAGGGGGAGTGTGAGGAGAGGGGCAGAGAGAGAATCTTAAGCAGGCTCCACGCTCAGCACAGAGCCCCATGCGGGGCTCCATCCCCCAAGCCTGACACCATGACCTGAGATGAAACCAAGAGTCAGACACTTAACCAGCTGAGCCACACAGCACCCCCAGTTTTTGGTTTTAAATAAGACAAATTTCTAAGTTCAAACAGGATAGTAGAGCATTAAAAATAGGATATTAGGGTTTTTTTTTTGTTTTTATTTATTTATTTATTTTTAAAGTTTTTATTTATTTATTTGAGAGAGAGAGAATGAGAGAGAGCACATGAGAGGGGGGAGGGTCAGAGGGAGAAGCAGACTCCCTGCCGAGCAGGGAGCCCGATGCGGGACTCGATGCGGGACTCGATGCGGGACTCGATGCGGGACTCGATCCCGGGACTCCAGGATCATGACCTGAGCCGAAGGCAGTCGCTTAACCAACTGAGCCACCCAGGCGCCCCAGGATATTAGGGGTTTTTATTTTGAGTTCTATGTTACCCTGGTTATGAGGAACTCAGTATTTTTCTTACATTGTCTTGTGGTAAGTTTCTTTGTATGACAACAACACGAAGTAAAGGTTGATTGGTGTTTTGGCAATAAGTATTATAGCTACTTTTTTCTTTTGGTTAAGTAAAGGTTATCAGCGATAACTCAAATTCTAAGAGAATCGTTGAAATAACATCACGGTCAAGATCAATTTTTTAAGTAGTGAACATGTTACTAGGAAAGACAAGTTACAAATACAGAAGTTCAGCTTCCAGGTAAGCCCATTAGAGCCTTTTGGAGTGGAGGAGAAAGGAAAACTTCATCAAGCCCCTTTTATATGGTAATGGCACTTAGATGAGTCCACTTAAAGGAGCAGTATCCATTAACTTAATGATGTGAGTTATAGAACTTTTTGTAGGGTAACTGTAGATACAAGAGCTATTGATAAGAATATATAAGAAAATGTATTACACATTACAGATGTACACGTGCCTACAACAATTCATTATGTTTCCTTTCTGTGACATTAAAATATTGTCATATCTGCAATAGGTAGTGAAAATTATGTTAGTTTTATGTTAGTTATCATGGTCATCCTAAGCTTTTTACTGATTTTCTGTACTTTGAGCTTCATATTAGCAGAGCTTTTATTAAGGATCTCTTCACCTGACACATCCTCCTCATTGCTTTCAGACCTGGGTGAACCTCCCTGACATCCTCACCCACTTTCACCTCTGGGTTCATACTGAACTTTGTATAAAACCGTTATCTGGTATCCTTTTTACTACATCTCATTGTCTGTCTTAAATTTAGTCTGTCGATATTGTTGCTGTTAATTCATTCATGCATCCATCCATGCATTCATTCATGTATTACACAGACATTTATCAAGCATCTACTTTTGCCAAGCATAATGCTAGGTGTGGGGATACCGAGACAAGACATAGCTTTGCCTTCAAGCAGTTTGTTCACTGTCACATTAAAGGTGTAACAGGAGCATACACAGAAGGGACCAGCAGAGATGAAGGAAGGCATTTTGTAAAGGGAAAGTTAAGAGTTCTTTACTCCCTGAAGTTTTATAGAAGCCCATAGCAGTTTAGGAGGCTTTGTAATTTCTTCATACTTAGAGGTTTTGATACCTTCCAAAATAAAATGTAGTGGATCAGAGTACAGTTGTTGGAATCACACATACTTGGATTTGAATCCCTGCCCTACCTCTTACTAATTATGCAGCCTTGGGCAAGTTACTCAATCTCTCCCTACCTTAGTTTCCTCATTTATAAAATGAGAATTCTATATATACTAGAGGTTTTCTTGAATTTTGACTAAGCCCTTGATCCAGGACCCAGCATATAGTACATGCTTGTTTTTATTGTCATTGTTACTAACAATTTTATTATTATTAGACTTTGTGTTATAAGATTTTTATTGGCATCATGTTCGGTTGTTAAGAAATCTTAGTTGATGACTGGGCTACTTGGATTTGAATTTCAAAACAAAGTGTGGCTTTTGGCCCCTTATGTGGTTTTTTCATTGCTGGTGAAATGGTTCAGTACTTTTTATTACATAAATCCCTCCTTTTTCTCCCCCCAGCTATGAGGACTTCTTACTCTCACTTATGACTTCAGTGGACTTTGTTTAATTTTTAAACAATTTACATATTAGAATGTAAAAGTATAGGTTTTTTAGATACTTTTAAAGAAAAGTGATATCTAAATTGAGAACTATATTTTAAAGTCTGCTATTGATGTTAAGTAAAATCATTTACAGTATTCTTTTTCTCTGTGAAATGATAGTAAAATGCCAGAGGTAATTAATTAATGGTTGTAAAATACGTTTGCATTTGATAAATTTTTACATCCTAGTAAATTATAGCATAAGGTACCTTAGAAAACAAAAACATCAACATAACAAATAAATAATTGGCATACAGGGGTGTTTGTACGGCTGAGTTTGCACTGGAAGGTTTTTGATACATGTTAATAAAGTATTAAATCACATGGATGAGCTACAGCAGTCATCACTAATATGCAGAATATTAAATGTGTTGTTAAAATATTTACGTTTACATACTAGAAATATTTTCATTTAATGTGTATGTATTTTTTTTAAATAAACAGGATAGCAGTGCATGAGCCTTCATTTATGAGCTCCCAGTTGAAAATCAGCGATCGGAGTCACAGGCAAAAACTTCAGCTCAAGGCACTGGATGTGGTTTTGTTTGGACCTCTGACACGTTAGTATTCTCTCTCAGAATCTGATGCAAAAGAATAATCAGATCATGTATTTGTTATTTAAAAAAGGAGAAAGAAAGAACATTAAGAAAATCATTTATTAGCTATAAAGGAAATGTCATGTATCTTAAAAAGATTTATAGGGTGAGATTTTCTGTCATTGAAATGTGGAGTGTGAAATTTCCAAGCTGGTTACTGATGTAAAAAGTTGTAAAAACTATGTTTGTTGATAATTTAGAATTAAATTTCTAGATTTGGAACTTCAGATCTTTGTAACAGTTTTAATGTTGATACCATTATAGCTGGATATTCACTGAAGGATCCCTTTCAGAAATGGTACAGTGTAACCATCTCCATGGCACAGAGTAATACATCCTAACTTGATTTCGTTTATCACCAGGAAAAGGATTTTCTAGATAAAGATCAAAAGCAGAGATCCACTTGAAATTTTACATGGTAACAGACTATCCTGGCAGAAGCACAAGGTGGAGAATGTTAATTTGGTTGTGCTGAAGAACATTTAAGGAATTATTATGTCATATTTGTAAGGAAAATAAGCCTTGTATTTCTTTACTTTTGACAGGAATACTTCTTTCAGAAAGGAAGTTTAATATATTTAATTTCAAATTCTAAAACGCTTTGGGGGAAAGTGTTTGAAGAGTACACATTTTAGAGGAATTATGTTCTACTTTTTCAGAAGCCAAAAAGGAGTAGCAAAATTAATACAAGAAAGATGGCTTCCACAGATGATAAATTAGGAAACAGATGTTTATTTTACCTCAATTTTTGGAGTTAGGAGACTTGCAGGTTTCTGTGCTATGGTTTTGGGGGTGGCCCTGCTGAGAAAGGGTTCCTGGAGCTGTTGGATAGATTCCATGACTGTACTGGTGGTTCTTTTTGGCTCAGGCTTGAGAGCAGCTGGTGAAACAGCTGGAACACTCCGCTTTGTGAGAGGTGGTGGAAATGCACTGCTGTTGGAAATTACAAACCCTAGGAAGCAGAACCCTCCTGAAATGCCGGGCATTCCACACAGATGACACCCTGAGTTTCCTACTGAATCTCTTGGGGGTTGTCTTCCGTGAGATTCTGATTTTTTCATGGGGATGATTGGTGAAAATAGGAATTAAGCTCTAAAACTTGCCTCTCTGTACAATTTGGTCAGGGATATTTATATTTTATTAATCTGGGAACAAATCATCCTCTAAGCCAAAACAGTATTATATTATCATTTGAAAAGAAACCAAACTAGTCTCAAAGAGTGTTGAAAACAAATGTTTTAATAAACCAGTGAAGAAGTTAATGATGCATTACGTTTTTAATGTGTTTGTCTTAGAATTGTTATTTGAGTGAATGAGCCCTGCAGTTGGAATACGGGCTTTAGATTTATAACAAACTAACGTTATAAAATGAACAGAGACATATTTTAAAGGAGTTTTCACTGAAATCTTTTTCAGTTTGTGGTAATTATTATAGAGTTTGGGACTTGTCCGCCTATTTATTGTCATTTCTGGTGATTCTGTTTTGGCCTGAACAGGGCTCATATTTGAACTAGAACTCGAGCTGAACTTCTCAGTCTGAGGCAGAAATAAAAATAAATCCTTTTGAGACTTTAGCATTCTGCAATGCATCTGTTTCACTGTAGGTGTGCGCTCTGGAAATACGCAGCCCCGAGGGTCTCTGGCCTGGAGCATGCTGTTCATCACACTGTGTAAACATACACGAACCCGAGGAAGCGCAGGAACTTGTCCTGTCTGTAGAGCTCCTTATTTCATCACACATGCAACATATCTTCCTGCTGGAGGCCTGGGCGGTTAGGTCGTTTTCCACTGTAAACTATGTCTCTTTGGAGCAACGAATACATTATATTGTATTAGTTATCTTTGTGTATCCTTCCAGAGAGCCCTCTGAAAATTAGTGTGTATGAAGAGTCAGTGATAAACTAGAAAATTATTTAACTAGTGATTTCTGTGTTTTGTATCACTGAAGACAGTGGGCCCTGGCTCCTTACTCCTTACTTTAGAAACAGTGCTGGAAATTACTGACCTGCCTGGTGGTAAAGAAGGTGATCTGTTCTTTCCTTCTAGTAGCCCAGATTTCTCTGGCAAATAGCCACCTAAAGCATGACTTGTTATGATCATGTAACTCCGGCTTTCTCAACCTTGGCACTTCACGTTTTGGGCTGGATAATTCTGTTACTGGCAGAAGCAGGGCTGGAAAGTGATCGTCTTGTGTGTTATTGGATATTTAGGAACATCCCTAGCCTCTCCCCACTAGACACCAGTAACAACTTCCCCATCCACTTTACACCTTCCCAACTGTGACAAGCAAAAATTGTCAAATGTCCACTGTGGGGGGGATATCACCCGCAGTTGAGAATCATTGACTAATCTTAGTTACATGACTACTTGCTTGGGGAAAATGTTCTTCTGGTGAACGATTAGGCTTCCACTGTATGTATCAAAGCCTGAAAGCTCCCTAACTAGACTGAAGGAAAGCAGTTGCGGTGATAGTAGTGGTACTCTTCTTTATGCCTCCTTTCACCCCACAGAGAACGTGATTGGAGGTGCTGTTGGCTTTTTCACAGCTCCCCAGGACTTTTGTTACTATTTCCTATACCAGCAGGGGTGGGGTACATGCATGTGGGTTTATCTGTGCCCTCTGGTAGTTCTAGTGTATCAGACTGTCATAAGCACTTTGATTAGTTGAAGAAAGAATTTTTAAAAGGCTAGAGCTTGTTTATGGGAGGGACATTTTCACATTTGTTTGTTTTTAGATACCTACTACTTTAAAAAAAAATGCTTCTATGTATTGAGATTCTGTTATCAAAGATTAATTTAATCATCTGTAATTCTCTTCATAGGCCCGCCTCATAACTGGATGAAGGATTTTATTCTCACAGTTTCTATAGTAATTGGTGTTGGAGGGTGCTGGTTTGCTTACACACAGAATAAGACATCAAAAGAACATGTCGCAAAAATGATGAAAGACTTAGAGAGTCTACAAACTGCAGAGCAAAGCCTAATGGACTTACAAGAGAGGTGAATAAGTTTAAAAAGCTACAAGTCTTATTATTTATATAGTCAAATACGGTTTGTGAAAATGTAATATGGGCCTGGGCTTACACACTTTTACTTAGTTTGTTACACACATCAGTAATGTCTGTACACTTCATTTCATATAGTTAGAAAAGTTATATTGTCCTAATTACAGATTTATATTAAAGGTACGCACTAGGGAATAAGCAGATCAGTGGAAATAAATCAGATATAGGTGGAATGATATGTGTAGTTAAGTTTTATTTTTAACATGATTTAGATAATAAAGAATTTCTTAAGAGTCTGTTTGCTGAAGAGTGATTCCCTGCTATCACTGTATTTTCAGCTCAGGATTACCCATATAGATGTATAGTGGGCTGCCTGCTAGTTTTGGTATTCACATGTAAGATTAATAGAAAATACTCTGATTTTGGATGGGAACATGTATCCTGCTGCTTGATACGTATTTATTCGTGAAAAAATGAAACTCTGGAAATTTTGGTGAGGAATTTTCATTTTTATCCTTCTGTAAGGCTTGAAAAGGCACAGGAAGAAAATAGAAATGTTGCTGTAGAAAAGCAAAATCTAGAGCGCAAAATGATGGATGAAATCAATTATGCAAAGGAAGAGGCCTGCCGGCTGAGAGAGCTAAGGGAAGGAGCCGAATGTGAGCTGAGCAGACGGCAATATGCAGAGCAGGAATTGGAGCAGGTATTTACATCCCATGAAAAGTATTTGTTAGGACAGTGGCAGCACCACTCTGAGGAGTTGTTTTTTTGAGTGTTCTTTCTTTCTTTTTTATTTTATTATGTTATGTTAATCACCTTACAGTACGACATTGGTTTTTGATGTGGTGATCCACAATCCACTGTTTTCATATAACACCCAGTGTCCACGCAGAACGTGCCCTCCTTGTCCCCATCACCGGGCTAACCCATGCCCCCCCCGCTCCCCTCTAGAACCCTCAGTCTGTTTCTCAGAGCCCATCGTCTCTCATGGTTCGTCACTGAGGGGTTGTTTTGTTTTTGTTTATAGTCTTCTACATTTAGTGGCATTGTATTACTCCTTAGTTAATAAAAGAATTATTCATATTATTAGCATTGATCAAAGCCCATATAGCAAAATGACCAAGTAATAATTTAAAAATAAAGTTACCGTCATGTTCACTCACTCATGAAATCTTATCCCATGCCATGTTAATTATCTCCAGTGAATTTAAGGTGTTTAACATCTGTGGTATGTTTCAGTTTGCAGCTATAACCTAGTAAAGTATATCTAATGTTAAACCTCTCTGCAAAGGTAAAGAATCTCTATTATACATTTGAATCCTGTTAAATGGCTTTAGAACATAATCTGCTAAAAATTCTGAAGTTGTCTACAGATGCCTTTCCAGTATCTCCTGCTACCATGTGGTTACTCAAGATGGAATAAAAGCCTTCAGGCATAGCACAGTCCTTCAAGAAGGGGGGGGGGGCAGAGTTTAATTGTAGGCAGATCTTTTGGTTTTCTATTCTTGCTATAAAAAATTACCACTAACTTCGTAGCTTAAAACAACACACATTTATTATCTTACAGTTCTTAAGGTAGAGTTTAAAATAGGTTCACAGGGCTGCATTCCTCTGGAGGCTCTGGGGAGGATCTGTTTCCTTGCCTTTTTCAGCTTCCAGAGGCTGCCTGCATTTCTTGGCTCGTGGCCCCTTCCTTCATCTTCAAAACACGTCACTCCAACCTCTGTTTCTGTGGTCTCGTCTCCTTCTTCTGACTTCGACCCTTTCTTTTCTGATAAAGAAACTGCGGGCAAGAAGGCTTGCCCAAGATCAGAGTGCCTCAGTTGTAAAGCAGGGCCAAGAACCGTGGTGTTCTGTCTGCCGCTTTGCTTTGCTCACCTGCTGCCTTCTCAGCCAGGTGCTAAATAAGGAGTAAGAATTATGTGAGGAATGCATTTCAATTTCAGCTCATGAGGAAATGTTCATTGTGCATTACTGTTTCCTTCAGGATGGTCGTTTTTGGTAGGATTTGTCTGCCTGAACGCAGCCATCTCTTCTGTTCATGGCTAGCTGTTGTTTCCCTGATACCCCTGGCATCTGTTTGTTGGATCTTTTCCCTGTAAGGAGTTTGTTCTCTTATGTTAACTCCTACATGTATTTTATGGTCAGGTCCTATTTACCTGACAAACCTTATCTGTACAGAATGTAGTAAGGAACCAGGGAGTTAACAGGAAAAAAAAAGAAAAGAAAGAAAGAAAGAAAAAGGCTTAGCCAAAATTATAGTGTGTCCAAGAATTAGATATTATGCCTTTTATTCCTGTGAGAACTCACTGCCTTTTCCCACCAAGACTTCTGACTCTTGGGTTTGTTCCCAGTACTAAACTAAATAGCTTGTAGCTATTTTTCTGCACTTTATAGGTTAGAAAGAACAAATCAGAAAGCAATAGTGGTAATTTGTCTACAGAGACATAAACTGATAGCAGAATTTTACAGGTGACTGCGTCACAGTGAGGGAGAAGACACCCTACAAAAAGGATTCCCAAATCACAAACATTCTAATTTGAAATTTTTGGCAGAAAGGCATTGCACACCACAGTAGACCTTAGGATCACCACGATATGTCCCAGTACAGATGTAATAATCCTAATGAGATCCTGAGTCAGTAAGGGGTGGTTTAAAGGAGTTAAGTGGGTGTTTAAAAAGAACTCTGTCCAACATGTTTATAGTAATAAGAAACACAGTTTTAACGATTGCGTACTGTGTGCCAGAAGTTTATGCTATGCACATTATGGGTAGTTTGCTCATAAATTTTAATCCTCACGATAAATAGATATTATCCTCATTATAGATGAGATGTGCAGAGAGGTTAAATAAGTTGCCTGAATTCACACAGCTCTTCCATGGCAAAGGCAAGATTTTGTGTGTCTTATTCCAAAGTCCATGATTTCCCATACTGCTATTAAAAGTTTTGTTTCTAGAAGTAAATTTCACTGGGAAGCTAATTTATGTATAATGTCATATAATCTACAGTTCCACGTAGTTTGAAGTATTACTATAGCTTGTCTGAGAGGTAATCAGCTTCTCAGAATTATAAGTCAGGAGTATCTGGCACATATATAGTGGTGCTATTTTTCCCTAAGACAAAAACTTTGGGGTGAATAATAGTACTGCTTCATATTTTGTATGGTTTAAATACTTTTCACATAAATTATTTTGTTCTTAAAGTTTCAGGAAGACCAAAGTCAGGACAAGTCATAGTATATGCCTGTTCTACGTGAGACAATAAACCTCAGCTCAGAAAGTGAAGAAGTGGTGAAGGTCACAAGGGTAATAATCATAAAGTTGGGTCTAGAGCCATGTTTTCAGATATTTAGGGTGTTTTTTTGTATACCATGTTTTTACTTATTGCTGCTTTATTCCTGAGACACAAATATTGTGTAAATAATTATATTTGTAAACAGTTTAATAATTCATCATTTGCAAAAGCTTTTAATTACTCATTTTTTTCTGCATCCATTCCTCTGTAAATAACAGTGTAATTCGAACTAAGGAGTAGAATTTAGGTCAGATGATAAACTTATGAATAATAGCAGAGAAAATAGTTAAAATAGTTGCTGTTATTGGAAGGTCACAATTTCCAAAATTTTGAAACATTATTTGACAGTCAATGAAAACAGTGTTCAGCCTCAGTTAATGGTAGAAATATACCAGTTCTGTGTTAAAGATTTTATTTATTTGACAGAGAGAGACACAGCGAGAGAGGGAACACAAGCAGGGGGAGTGGGAGAGGGAGAGGCAGGCTTCCCGCAGAGCGGGGAGCCCGATGCGGGGCTCGATCCCAGGACCCTGGGATCATGACCTGAGCTGAAGGCAGACGCTTAACAACTGAGCCACCCAGGCGCCCCACCAGTTCTGTGTTAAATGTGTTCATTGAGTTCTTTTAGGGGAAATAAATATATCTACATAATAAGGAAAATCTTTATGATTAAAGAGAAAAACTTGAGTGAAATTTGAAATAGATTCTCGGTTTAGTTCCTTGACAATGAAAATTGTATAGAAATTTTAGCTTTAAGATCTTGTGAGAAAGAGGGCCTGCTGAGCTATACTTTATAGTGTTGTATGGAACTCCATGTCATAGGACCTGACCTCAGATTCTCTCTTCCTGAAAGATTAGCAGGGGCGCCACAAGCTTAGCCAGCCATTTTATTAAACACAGTACTGTCCCAAGCGCTTTGCACAGTTTAATGTGTCAGGCACATGTTGCTTAGGATTTGTTTTTAGTGAGTAAGTAAGTAAGTGAGTAAGTAAGTAAGTAAGCGATCTTACCCTTACTTTTAATGTCTGTACTTAGTGTCCCATTGTGATTTTTTTTTTTCTTCTAATTTTGGAGTTTTAAAAAAATACTTCTCAAACATAATTTTCTTTCTACAGTATCTGACAACTGTTCTATTTCTTATCAGAAGAAACTTGTGTATAGTACTCTTATTAGTTTATTCTGGCACACAATACAGTTTATTTAAATAAGTTGTGTTTGTTCAGATCAAACATTCTTCTGCACGTGAGTTTAAGAGTGGAGTTTTTAGTTACTTTACTTAGCTTGGAGGAAAATAATTTGCAGGTATGGTGCTCCAGAAGCAGGAGGCTCCACAGTGCCTTCGTGACTTTGTCTGGAGGTCTTTTTTTTTTTTTTTTTTAAGATTTTATTTATTTGACAGAGAGAGACATAGCGAGAGAGGGAACACAAGCAGTGGGAGTGGGAGAGGGAGAAGCAGGCTTCCCGCTGAGCAGGGAGCCCGATGCGGGGCTCGATTCCAGGACCCTGGGACCGTGACCTGAGCCGAAGGCAGACGCTTAACGACTGAGCCACCCAGGCGCCCCCTGTCTGGAGGTCTTGAGTGTGTGTTCATAATTCCTTATATTCCATCACGTATCTTTACACATCTTTAGCTTGACCTCTTGCTAGTTTTTAAGTGAATCTTACTAGAATGGATTATCTCTTCTTTCTGTGTTCTTTTCTTAGGCTTTCTTTAAGAGTTTTTTCCTTAGCATTTAATACCAGCTGATGCACTAAGCATTTTAGTTTTCTAACTATTTATTGTCTGGCTCCCCTAAAGGGCAGCTCGAAGGAAGACTTTGACATCCTGACACTGAAGCCTATGCATAGTTTCTCATGGAAAAATCAAATAGAGTCTCACTCAGAATCTATTTTCTTGAAATTTACACATGGTCTGCAAATGCTGATTTATCTACTTTCTGGTATGTTAGAAGCAGCGAATTAAGTAGAGTGGGTGAAACAGACTGTAACAGACAGATGTGCTTATAACAGTGAGAAATAACTAACCATAAAGAAGATGTCATAAAAAACTTCAAAAAACACTATCATTACTCTAAAAAGTGAATGTATAGTTAAATGGCTTACAGTAATGTCTCCTGGGAATAGTAGAAGGGGTAGTAGGGCAGATATTCACGATATTTTGGATACTTCTTTATATTCTACTCCATGAACGAAAAAAGACATTATGAGAAGAATGTAATCCGTTTTAGTTTGTATGTGTCTGGAATTTTCTTCTGTCCATCGAGTCTGGCTGTTAAAAACTAAATAATGCAACTTAAGATATATGTAAGCCCCTTCTACCCTTTGGGCTTTACAGCTTTGCTTTGTGGGTTAAGATGCACTTGAAAGCTTCAGCTCTAGTTTTAATGTTAGAAGTATATTTTTATACTTTGTGATTTTAAAATACAAGGAACATAATTAAAATTGCTTTTTCTCTTAATTTTGGTGAAATCTTAATTTCTTAAGATGTATCTTAATTTAAATATCTTTTTTAAAAAAACAAATTTCTCTCTCTTTCTGTCTCCCATCTCCATCTTCCCCCCAACCTTCTCTTCATCCCTTCCGTTCCCTCTCCCCACTCCTCTTTTCCTTCTCCCTCCCTTCCAGGTTCGAATGGCTCTAAAAAAGGCTGAAAAAGAATTTGAACTCCGAAGCAGCTGGTCTGTTCCAGATGCACTTCAAAAATGGCTTCAGTTAACACATGAAGTAGAAGTACAGTACTACAATATTAAAAGACAAAATGCTGAAATGCAATTAGCTATTGCTAAGGATGAGGTACTCTATTATATTTCAAAACCTAATAAATTTCTAAAGAGATTAACCAATTGGGATACAAAGGTCTGAATAAAAATTGTATTATTCTAGCTTCTTTTTGTGAATTGGAACTTACTGCATAAATTGACTCTTGTAGTCATAGGCTGTAGAGTAAAATTACTTTATTTAGAGAAGTGTATACCTTTCAGAATGACCTTAGTGTCATTTAAAAATCATCCCTATTATCATTGTCATAAATGTTTTATACAGAGCTTTTCTCCTTTAGGTTGCTGCTTCATACCTGATTCAGGTTAGTAGTTACTAGAAATTAATGTCTGACTCTTATTAAATTGTGTGAAATGAGATTAAGTTTTAATCTGATTTCTAGCAAAAAAAAAGCTCAGTTCACTCACTAACACCTCATTGCAGTAAGATATGATTGTTATTTTGTTAGTTTTAATAGAAGATTAGGTCTTTCTGAACCATCAAAATAAGAGAAAAATTCTCCAGAACAAAGTTTTGAATTGTATTGATTGGTTTAGGAAAGCATGCTTTCTCCCTCATCTGTTTTCTTTTTTGGAAATTAGGGCTTTATTTTGGCTAATATAATTCTCCTTTGATTTTATGATTATTAATATATTCAAAACAAACTTCATTAGTATGTGTGTGTGTTTTTTTCAAACCTACCCTCATTTTTTCTCTCCTTGGGTTTCTAGGCAGAGAAAATTAAAAAGAAAAGAAGCACGGTCTTTGGGACTCTGCATGTTGCGCATAGCTCCTCCCTAGATGAGGTAGATCACAAAATTCTGGAAGCAAAGTAAGAATGTTATTTTAGCTATCAGTTTATCTGTATTGTATTGAAATGTGTAATTTATAAGCAGTTTATATCTTAATGTGTCATTTAAGCATGTGTAATTACATAACCTTTACGAATTTTAAGAATGGGTAATTGCCACGGTCTGTTCATGTAGCTGCCCCGTTTTAGTGCCATATTAAAGATTCTTTGATGCAACAAGTAATTCGTACATTGGCTTTTCCAGGAAAGCGCTCTCTGAGTTGACAACTTGTTTACGAGAACGACTTTTTCGCTGGCAACAGATTGAGAAGATCTGTGGCTTTCAGATAGCCCATAACTCGGGACTCCCCAGCTTGACCTCTTCCCTGTATTCTGATCACAGCTGGGTGGTGATGCCCAGAGTCTCCATTCCCCCCTATCCAATTGCTGGAGGAGTTGATGATTTAGATGAAGACACACCCCCAATAGTGTCACAGTTTCCTGGTAAGTGGTGAGTTCAAAAAAGAGAGTTGGTACAGTTTTTAAAGTAACTTTCTACATGCCTTTTATGAATCATTGACTTTGAAACCTATAATAAAAACTTTGTTCATTCGTTATATTCTCTTTTTTCCATTTGTGGTTAATAATTTGTCTTTACTATGTGAGAAGAATATATCAGGTGTGTGTCTGTATACATACACATAGAGTAACGCATCATACATGCTAGATACTGTATGAATGAAGTGCCAAGCTTTGAGGGTAAATATCCTTTTAAATGGCAGCTTAATCTATAGTAGAGAGTAAAAATGAGGGGAAGATCTTGGTGCCACTGACTGACCAACTATGTGACTATGAGCCAGTCTGTGATTTATTTGAAGTTCAGTTACCATTCCCAATGGGCATGGGGTTTTTGTTTTGCTTTTCCAATTCTCTATCCTTAGAGTTTATCCTGCTGTGTTTTAACTCATGAAGCACTGGCTCAGTTTACTTTTAAACAGAATTAAACTGTGCTTGTGTTTAGAAAAACCTTTTGTTGTTGTTGCTAGAAAGTAGAGCTCCTCCCAAAGGTGGTTTTAAAATGTACAATTTTCTTCTGTTGCCTTGTTTATGCTATAAACATAAAACATAAAATAAGCATACATGTAAAATATGTAAAAACAATATGTAAAAATTAAACATAAAAATTCCTTGAAGTCTTACATTGTAAAGAATATGTTTTGGTAGGAAGGTAAAATTTAAATATTTTAGATTTTGTTAACTGGTTTTAGAATTTATTAATAAGTATGTGGACTTTTTGCAAAGTTAGAAATCATTTGAAAAACTTTTCATCCTTGTTATTGCCTGGCTGATTCGCTTTCCCAATCTTTGTGACCTTTTGGAAACTGTAGATAGAACAAGATTCCAAAGAATGGAAAGCAGAATTTAATAATTGATTGGTTGAAAACTTAGATAGAAATTTTAAAGACAAATCGGTCATGATATATAAACATTTTCCAGTTTGAATTTTTTTATCCTGATTACATTTTACATTACATTACATTTTTCCTGATGTTACATTTTTCCTGATGTTATGATTTACAAAGGGTTCTAATTTTTAGAACAGTTTTATGAAATAAAGCCCTAAATTTGCAAATAAATAGTGAATGACTATGCGTTTGTTTATTTCTGTGGCTGTAACTCTCTGGTTTAATGGCAGAGAGATAAGGCAAGTCAGTTGGGGAGGCACTAAACTCTTAACACAGTAGAGAAGACAGGACAGATAATAAATGCATTGAATCCTGGAATGTGTAACCTTGCTCATCTCACTTGTCCTATGCTGCAAGGTAGTTACGGTGCAAAGTTATACCTAGATCTAGGCCAGCTCTGCTCTTTGAATATTGTCAGCTTATGTTTATTTGAAATGCATGCTCTTAAGCTTGCCAAATGCAACACTGATTCATAAATAGATGATTTTGTTTGAAAACTGTAGCTTTTTAAAGTCATAGTTCCTCCTTAGAATCCATAATTTTTCAGTGTCCGTATGCATGAAGATATATTCCCTAAGTTAACTAGTTCTTTTCCTTTTTTAAAAGTTCTTTTTGATGGGACAAAATATATGTGAATAATTATCTTAAGTTTTTAGTGATTGTGATATACAGAGAGATTTGAAATATGAAAAAAGTATGAGTTGATTTTAATTTAGTATGATGATTTAGAAGTTCTGTGACCAAATTTATTATCTTTGAAAAAAACTCTTGCCAAAGATGACACTTTGAGAGCTCCACCTCCACCCAGTGGCACAGCCGTGATACTCCACTCGGCTTCGCTACGAAAGCATAATTTCTAGAGCTGATAAATGAGGAACTCCTGGCAGCCAGACTAAAGTCTAGAGTAGGATGAAGGCCTCTTTATTATGTACCCTCTGAGAAGTTTTAAATTTGTACCGTGAGTATGTGTAAATTTTGTAAGTGTGAAATAGTGGCGAGGAAACATGCCTGTGGTACGTTAAGACCCAAGTAAAAGACTGTAAAACTATACAAGGAATAATATTATCTGTGTTTAATTATGTGTGAAGAAAAAGATAGGGAAAATATTATCAAAGTTTAGCTCATTGTGGGTAGGAGAAGAGATGATAGTTTTTTCCTGTTACTTTTGTAGTATCTGCTAAATATTCATAGTGAGAATGTGGTAGCAATTTATTTAAAATTTCTTATTATAAAGTTCTCATATGTACTTAAAAGTACTGAAAATTAAATGCTCACCTACTACAAAGATAAACAGATTTTTTTTTTATTCTTATGTTAATCCCCATACATTACATCATTAGTTCTAGATGAAGTGTTCCATGATTCATTGTTTGTGCATAACACCCAGTGCTCCATGCAGAACGTGCCCTCCTCAATACCCACCACCAGGCTAACCCATCCTCCCACCCAAAGATAAGCAGATTTTAACATTTTGATCTATTCATCCCTTTTTCTGAAATAAATTATTATACATATAGCTAAACCACGTGGCCTCGTCTTCTTACTCTTCTGAAGTTGTGTATCGTTCTAAAGCCTGTTGTACTTTTATTACTTGCAGATATATTATAAACAATAGATATAATCGTTATTTAAAAATTTACATAAATGTTATCAAACTCTAGGTAATGTTTTGCAACTCTTTTTGCTCACAAATATGTTATAGAAATTTTCCATGTTCATATACAGCGTCACTAAATTCACTGTGTTTAATATGAGCTAACCACAGTGTATCTATTTACTCATTATAATCATAAACCACAGTTTATTAATCCATTTTTCTACTGAGATAGGCTCTTTGTACTTTCCTGCCTTTACAGACAATACTGCAGTGAGCATCCTTGCCTTACCTTTATCTCTTTGTGCATAACTTTGAGTGTTTCTCTGAGTAGACACCTAGGAAATGGATCACTTTTAGTCCTTGGGAGGGCTGTTCCTAGTCATTGCCAGGTTGCTCTCAAAATGATTGTTCATTTATATACCCACCGTTTATAAGAGTGCTTGTCTGCCCATATCCTTACCAATACTTGAAATGATCTGATTTATTTGTTTTGTAACTTGAATGGGTGTGATATGATACCGTAGGGTGATTAAAATTTTTATTTCCTTGATGACTACTGAGATGTTCCAGTTCATTTTTTGGTGTTTGTCATTGAGATTTCTTCCTCTCTGAGTTGCTCATTCCTACTATGGAATCTCTCCCAAGATTCCTTACTGATCTGGGAGAGTTGGTTTTAATATTTTCTGGTTATTTGATGCAGATAGCTTTCAGGCCTTGGCTTTTCTTTTTTACTCTGCTGTGTTACTTTCTTCTTTAATCATCTGGGTTTTTTAAAAAATGTTTCTAATGACAAATTTATGAAACTGATTTGTGCTTTTTATGTCTTTTTCAGAAGATGATAGATTGTTGTTTGCTCTCCTAAAAGTGTTTTAGATTTGCTTTAATCCCTTAGTCTTTTAATCTACCTGGAAGTTATTTTCGTTCATACTGTGAGATAGGAATCTAAATATATCTCCTGATGTATGGACAAACAGTTGCCCAGTCTCACTCCTGCTCTGCCCCTGCTGGTTTGTAACCCCACGTCTCTCTATTGGTGCACACGTGTGCCCAGGCTCTCTGTTCTGTTCCACTGGTTCCATTCTGCTTTAGTTGCTATTTATAGTTTTATAGTAAGTGTTGAGGTTTGATAGGTCTAAACCTTCCCTTATTACTCAAATTCAGAATTGCTGTTCTTGGCCAATATGAATTTTAGGATTAGCTTATGAAATTCCATGAGACGTTCCATTGAGCTTTTATTGGAATTTCTTTGAATTTATTGATATATTTGGGAAAAGTTGTTATTCATGTTTCATTCATTAGGATCTGCTTTTATGTCTTTAAAATTTTAAATTTTCTCTGCACTGTTCTTGCACATCTTTTTAAAAAAGATTAATTTCTGGATACCCTGTAGGTTTTTGTTTTTGTTTTTTTTTGTAGTTACACATTACTTCTCTTAAAAAAATTATACTTCAGATTGCTTGTTGCCGATGTAAAGGGAACTGCTGTTGACTTTGCTAAACTGATCTCACATACAGAAATACTGAATTCTCTCAGGAGTCTTTTGGATTTTTTTGTGTGTGCAATAATAATAAGTTGTTTTTTCCTTTTCAGTCCTAATGCCTTCTTCCCCCCCTTTTTTTCCAGTCTAAGACCTTCAGTAAAATGTTGAGTAAAAGTGGTGATTGCAGGCAATAATGGTTGCCATTTCTGACTTTAAAGAGAAATCTCCCAATATTTCATCGTGAAATGTGATTTTTATTTATTTATTTATTTTTTGCTCTGTGTTTTTGGTAGATTGCTTTTAAGTTAAGGAAATTAATTTTATTCCTATTTTGCTAAGAATGATTTTTCTTTTAAATCAGTGGCTATTAAGTTTTACCAAATTTTTCCTGCCTAGTTTGAGGAGATCACTTATATTATTTTTCTTTATTCTGTTGTATAAAAGCACGGTGTGTGAATGTGCTTAGAGAAGTCAAGGGAAGGACAAAGTAATAATCAATGTCAGGTGCTGGCCAAAGTCAGGGAAGGATTGAGCTATCTGTTGAATTTAGCAACAAGGAAGTAGATTGTGACTTTGTTGAGAACAGTTGCAGCGAAATTGTATGTGAGCACTTTACACTTTCTTTGATGAATGAGTTAAGGTGAAGTAGTGGAGAAAGTAACAGACAAAATTCTTCATAAAAGGGAAGAGAGGTTATGTCAGTTGAAAAACAATCTGAAGACAGAGGAGGGATTTTTGTTGTTGCTGTTGTTTATCGGTTTTTTAGGTTTATTGTTGCAGCATTGATTTTTAAATGCTGTTGGGAAGTAGAAGTTGAATATAAAGGCAACAGAAGGGCTAATCAGTAGAGTTAGGTGCTTGAACTTGGGTAGAGAATAGGACAGACAAGTGGAAGGAGCAGAATGTGTGAACTAGAAAGGTAGAAACGTGGTCAGAATCTCAGTTTTCTGTCTTGATTTGTAATATCAAAAATGGAGCAATGCTGAATGACAGCAAGACAAAGTTGGAGAGTGAGTGGTGGCATAGATGTCTTGAGAAGAGGGGGAACCATGATTGATTAAGATGTTGGAGGTCTTATTTATAAATGAGATTGCTCAAGTTTGATGATAGGTTGGGTCAATTGGTAAGGGAATGACTGGGAAGTGATGAGTGGAGTAGAGATGGTAGACCCACATGGCTTAATGGTGTGAGCTTCAGAAGGAACACATTTGTATAGAAGGGTGTAGGAATGAGGGTTTACAGAGTGTTGGGGTGTGAGAAGGCCACCAGCGTGATGTTCTGGTGCAGCAGCCGAAGTTTTCTACCGGCATGGGTCTAGACTGAGACTGGTAGCAGAAACAAGATGATCTAAGACTTCTGGTTAGTTCCATAGTAATCAGTGTTCAGGAAACAGGTTTTGGTCTGGTCGTTGCCTAACCGGCTGGGAGACACTATTTCAATGACTTGATTTAAAATTTCTTAGAGGCAGGCAAACCAGAAGAGACCCTTAATGATAGAGAACAAACCGAGGGCTGATGGAGGGAGGTGGGGGGGAGGGATGGGCTAGATGGGTGATGGGTATTAAGGAGCGCACTTGTGATGAGCACTGGGTGTTGTACGTAAGTGATGAATCACTAAATTCTACTCCTGAAACCAATATTACACTATATGTTAACTAACTAGAATTTAAATTGAAACTTGAAACACGAAAAAAATAAAACTTCAAGTTCAGACAAGTCACATTGTCTCAAGAGACATCTGTTGAAAAATTCAGCGTATTTTTTTTTAGTGATAGTTTTCTTCTTTTAATGGCAAAATTCACAAAAAGTTTTGCTACAATTCCTTAAAACTATGCTATATTGGTTTTTAAATGTAAGGATTTATCATCTTGGGCAAATTTTCAAGGCTTTGTGGTTAGTAATGTCAAATGTGATGTCAGAGCCTCATGGGCTTATGTTCTCTTCTGTTTATTTTCTAGACCTGTTTTCATTTTTATTCCATTTTAATTCTGTATTTCTTCACTTTCCTGGGAAGCAGTCCAGGGGATGGAGGACGGTGACGTGTTCGTAGCGGCAGGTCCCTGACGTGTGTCCCTGCGCTGTGCCTAGGAGCAGCACTGGTCTCACGAGCACGTGTGTGTGTTTCTGCTTGGTTCCAGGGACCGTGGCCAAGCCCGCGGGGCCGCTCGCCCGAAGCAGCAGCCTGTGCCGCTCCCGTCGAAGCATCGTGCCGGCCTCGCCGCAGTGTCCGCGTGCCCAGCTCCCCCCTCACACGCCGCACCAGGCCCATGCCCGGCACCCCCACCACCCCCAGCACCCGCAGCACTCCTTGCCTTCCCCTGACCCCGATATCCTCTCCGTGTCAAGTTGTCCTGTCCTTTATCGAAACGAGGAGGAGGAAGAGGCCATTTACTTCTCTGCTGAAAAACAATGGTATTGGCAGCGAACCAACTGCAGTATAGGCTGGGCTGGCTGGGCGGGAGGTGGGCGTGGGGCGGGGAGGAGCGACACGACACGCTGGATTCGGTTTCGTTCGCTGCAGAACGAGTTACCACAAACTGCGTGGTTTCAAGCAACATGCCTTCATTAGCTCTCAGTTCTCTATGCCAAAGTCCAGGTGTGGTGTGGCCGGGTTTTCTGCACAGGGTCTCACAAGGCTAACATTGAGGTGTTTGCCAGGCTTTGTTCTTCTCTGGAGCTTGAGGGCCACTTCAAGGCCCATTTGGTTGTGAGAGAATTCAGCTCCTGTGGTTATAGCACTGAGGTCGCGGCTTCCACACCGGCTGTCAGCTGGGGGCCCCTCCCAGTTCCTAGTGGCTGCACAATATTCCTTGCCGTACGGGCCTCCATCTTCAAAGCCCACAACAGAAACTGTCCCTTCTGTCAAGTCCCGTCTTTGCTTGAAATCTCTGACTTGCCCCGTCTCTAATCTCTGGACCTAACTTAAAAGGCTCACTTGGATAATAATCTCTGTATATTAAGATAGACTAGTTTGGGGCCCTAAATACATCTGCAGACTGCCTTCAGAGCAGCATCTCTATTAGTATTTGATGGAATAACTGGGGGAATATATGTGTGTACACCAAGGCTAGAAATTGAGGGACCATCTTAGAATTCTGCCTACCACAGTGGAGATATTTTGACATATAACTGTTTAGAGACCACTGCATGCAACTGACTCAAGTCTCAGGACACAGATTTGTCTTATGAATAGTTTTATATGTAAAATACAAAAGCATAACTTAAATACACACAAAGAAACATTAAATATGACCGAGTTTTTACAATATTTGTTGCCACTTAGTGATTTTTTTTTTCTGTTATGTGCTAGTACTTACTAGCAAACAGGAAATGTCAAATGCCAAAGATGTAAGAAAATGTAGGAATTTGTATAAAATGGGTATAGCAGCAGCGTGTTCTAGTCCAGCTTGAGGACCACCATGCTCCGTAAGAGCCATTGCAACTAAGGATCTCTCCTTCCAAACCACATTCCTCTTTAGGAGCAGTGGGGTTTCAAGTGACAGGAAAACCAACGCCGGTTTCTGACTTTGCTTACACATCGTAGCTGTGCAGCCTTGAAGTCTTCCTGTCCTCACATGAGAAACAAAACCAAAGGGAGGGGGCTTGATGCTCTCAGTGAAATTTTGTGGCTCTTCTCTATCATGTGATTCTTTAGTTGGCATCATCATCAAATAATTTTCATACATAATTGTTTTATCTACTAGTGAAAGTAGATTTTACGAATAGCCAAAATCATTAGAGCATATTCCCGAGGAGATAGTCCAGGGTTTGTGTCCTCGTTACAGTTGGAGAATTTGATGCCGCTTTGCTTGGGCAGCACTTTCTGATTAGCTTTTTTGTATAACCTTTGCAATATAACTATAGTCACCTGTAAGATAGCTTTAGTGACAGAACTAATTTTGTGTGGCTTATGGAAGTTAATAGGAAAACTCAAGAGCTCTGCTGTCCAATAGAATTTTTGCATTTGTGGAAATGTTTAGTCTTCATTTCAAATAAGAGTGTCCGAAATTCACAGCTAGCTCATAAATATGAGAATTTAGATTCAGAAAACTTTTCCTCCTCTTTAGTCTCTTACATGATGAACCACTAGAATCCTTACAAAATAGCAATAGTAATAATATTTACTATTTACTGATCTTTTATGTTCTATGCATTATGTACATTATACACTCATTTAAATCTTACCTTGAGTTGAGTCTTGTTACGTAGGCATTAAACTGACATGAATACACCTGTACCTCACAGTGAGAAAAAAAGAAATAGAAAAATAACATAAATAGTGCACATAATTAACTTTAACATTCCAAAGAATATATGTTCTGGAAAAAAATGGGATATTTATTTAAGAGTCAGAGATTATACTATACCTACACTCCAATCTGACTAGTTCTGTGGAAGAAGCAACACTTCAGATTATTTGTTTTGGAATTAGGATGTTAAAGGAGGAGTAATTTTAGAGATTAATCAAATTCTCTTACTTTGACAGGGAAATTGAGACCTGGTTAATTTAAATGATTTGCCCAGGGTTGTGCGGCTGATTAATGGCAGGACCAGGACAGGAAGATCTAGTTCTCCTGACTTAGATCATTATTCTTTTCACATATTATTTAGATTTTAGAGACCAGTTTTTGAAATATTTTTAACCTAGCTTAGAATTTCACACACTGAGCAGCCAAACCACATAGCAGAGTAGAAAGTAAATTTATAAAATTTTAACTAAATCAGCTTCTGGCTCTGGAAGCTGAACAGCTTCAGGGAACAGTGATATATGCTGTGTAATTAATGGATATCCACTCCAAAAAGAAGCTAACAGGAAAGTCCCTACCAGTGACTGATTTCTGAGTCATTTCTTCTTATCTGAACTTCCTCTTGTTCTCTGTTAGCACTCCCCGTTATCATATTGTAAAAGCACTTAGAAATGATGCAGCACATGTAACTGTATCATATGAAATCATCATTTAAGTCTTTATTTGCCCAGGGGATTTTGTACCTTCTGAGAGCTTATAGTGTAATAGAAACAATCTGCACATACGTGTGTGAGTGAAGTACATAGGAATGATTAAATACGTTGAGTAAGATATAGATCTAAAATGAGGTATTAACATGAAATACATATCAGAAGTAATATGACTACATGAATAATGATAGTAACCACAGGTCATCCAAGGTGAGAGATCATTCAGTTCGTTTATTCTATAAATATGAACTTAGTTCCTCGCTGTATTCTGTGCACTTGCTAATAACTTGAGCTGCCAAGACAAGTGAGACAAGGTTCTGGCCTCGTTCTAGCTGGTGGATTATGATCATATGTGTCCTTGCCTTTCTCTTCTGTCTTCAGCTCTCTTCCTTCTCCCACCTTATTTCTTCTGCCAGTTACTTTTTATCTTGACTCTACTTTTTATTTCTTAATCATTTCTTTTGTAGAGGGAACAATATTTGTATCCCGTGTGGTACATACAAAAATAAGTGAGACATTATCCAAGATCTTTTCTCTTTTTCTTTTCTTTCGTCTGCTTCCCGTTCATTCACTCATTCATTCATTCATCACATATTTATTAAATACCCACCGTGAACTTACCACTCACTATTCACAGTGCAGAGAATACAGAAGTTAGTAAGACTCCCTGTCCTCATTAAGTTTTCTTTCTTCTGGAGAAACTGACTAAAAGAAGTTAATATAAAATATTGTTTTAGGTAGTGGGATGTTCTGGGATACTAACTAAAGTCAGGTAAAAAGAAAGAGAATACTGTTACGGACAGAGTGCTAAGGGAAGCGTCTCTGGAGAGAGAGCAGTTGAGCAGTGACCTGAATGATCGTGCAGTAAGCCCTGTAGAGATGGAGGGAAGGACAGTAGGAGGCAGAGGGAACAGTAAGTGCACAGCCCTGAGGGAGTCACAGGGTTGGCGTGGGGGTGGGGGGCAAAGAGGGCAAAGAGGGGGCCGTGGTGTAATGATGCGGAAAGTGGTGGGGCCTGTGGCTGGAGCCACAGCCGTGGCCCTGATCCGACTGGGTTCCATGGACTTCGGCAAGGTCTTTGGATTTCAGCCTGATGAGGGGAGGAAGCACTGGAAAGTTTTGAGCAAGGAAATGATGTGCTCCAAGTTTTTAAAAACCCCATTGCATCTGTGTAGGGAAGTAGCTTGGAGGGAGGAACAAGAAGGGAGGCAGGGAGATCAGTTAGGAAGCCCTTGCAGTCACTGAGGTGACTTCGCGGTAGTTCAGCAAGAGGGACGGTAGCAGTGGGGAGTGACAAGGGTTGGATGTGAGGGATAGTTTGCAGGAATGGCTGATAGCATCTACTGTTCATGGGCCTTGAGGTTCTGAGCTTTATTTTTCTTATCCTTATCTGTTCTCTCTTTCTTGTGGAGAAAAGGGGAAATCACAAAGGAATAAACCTGTGAGAATTTATTGACTGTCTGCTTCTTAAAAAAATAGCGTGACATCACTGATTTTTGCCTCCCCCCCGCCCCACACCCAATTGTATCTCAGCTTCCTTCTCCTGTTTCTGAACTTGGGAGAACTTACATTTGAGCTTAATATATTTCTTTCTTCCTTCCTGAGGAAGCTAAATTTCATCAATTTAATAACTAAAATAAAGGGAGAGACAGTGACTAAAGCTCATCTTTTAAAAATATGTAATGTCAACTATGTGATTTAGAAAGAAAACTACTCAGTATTGAAACAAAACAAAGTAGCTGAGATGAAAAAAAATCTGTAAACGTTAAACATTTTCATTTCTCTGACAATTGAAGAAAGATGTAACATGATTTATGTTTTTTAGATTGGAAGATTTCATTATTAATAGTGTATGTTAAATATTAAACATTGAGTTTTGATAAGTTATATTATTTAAAATAGTAATCTAATTTTGTCAGAATGTGTGTAGAATTTTAGTATTTCTCCCTTTTACATTTTGATAGGTTAAAAAAATAGAAGTTGTTTTAGTTAGAATTAGTGAGTATGTTTGCTGGTAGTGTTAGAAAATATTGATTTAAAATTTTACCTTTGTCTCTGTCTCATCCAGGGAAGTGCCAGACACGGCCTCCGAGTGTGACTCCTTAAATTCTTCCATTGGAAGGAAACAGTCTCCTCCTTCAAGCCTTGAGATATACCAAACATTGTCTCCTCGAAAAATATCAAGAGATGAGCTCTCTCTAGAGGATTCATCCCGAGGAGATTCACCCATAACTGCAGATATCTCTCGGGGTTCTCCTGATTGTGTAGGTCTGACAGAAACGAAGAGTATGATCTTCAGTCCTGCCAGCAAAGTGTACAATGGCATCTTAGAGAAATCCTGTAGCATGAACCAGCTTTCTAGCGGCATCCCGGTGCCTAAATCTCGCCACACGTCCTGTTCCTCCACCAGCAACGACAGTAAACCCATTCAGGAAGCCCCACATGTTGCCAGGATAAGCAGCATCCCGCACGATCTTTGTCATAATGGAGAGAAAAGCAAAAAGCCATCAAAAATTAAAAGCCTTTTTAAGAAGAAATCTAAGTGAACTGGCTGACATGATGGAATTTATTCAAGTGGCATCTTTGAACTTTTATCTCCTGTCCTCCACTCCCCCTTTTTTGTTTTAATTTTAGGGCTGTAACTCCAGTGGGGCTTCCCAGACTGGGCGCCGTAGTGGAATGTCCCAAGGGCAACTGTCTACTGTCTGCTTATTTAAATGACTAATCATTTCGTCAAGCCAGTTATTACTGAAAAATCATTAAGAGATGAGACAGTTTACAGTCATTTCTGCCTATTTATTTCTGCTTTGTTATTAGTGATGTATATACAACATTTTGTTGAAAGCCACTATGGACTTACAAGCTTTAATGGACTAGTAAGCCAGCATGGGCTTGCAAAAATTTCTTGTTTACCACACCATCTTCTTATCTTTCCACAGAGCTATTTACATCCTGGACTAAATGACTTAAAGTAAAACTAATTGCACTACCGTTTTCCAGACTGGAAAAAAAAAAAAAAAATCTCTGCAAGTGAAACTGTATAGAGTTTATAAAATGACTATGGATAGGGGACTGTTTTCACTTTTAGATCAAAAAGGGTTTTTAAGTAGAACCTAGGGTTTCTAATTGACCTGATTTCTGGAAATGAAAACCCACGCTTTTATTATGGGAAGCTTCTTTAAATGCATTTAATATTATAAAGTTTCAAGTCCTGCTGTAAAGATCATGTTGTTTTGTTTTTCCCAGGGCTTTCACTGTGATTTACTGCATTGCAGCCTGTATGATAAAATATAAATAATTTAAGGAGAGAAGGCTCTTGATTCCTTACGCACGTGGAAGAGTTGAAACTTGATTGAAGGACTTACATTCACAAGCTTAAACTGAGGTCGGGGACGTGGGGTTTCAGGTTCTTGTTTACAGACTTTGAATAACAGCAAAGAAGTTATGGTTTGTGAAGAATTTGTACTGTGGAAAAGATAATAAATTGGAGACATTATTGTGTGGGCCTCTGTTGACTTTTGTTGATAACACTCCACTAAAAACACTATACGTTTTCTGGAGAGCTAAGTGAGCTGTTTTGTTGCTTAATTGCACTATAAGAAATAGTGATGTTTTGGAAGTTGTCAACAAATTTCTTTCCATTTTATATTGTTTGTCATATTTTTATGTAGTTTGAAATGTTTAAATGTTCTAATATCAAGATTAACAAATATAAATTTATGGTGCATTTAGATTGTGTTGTATTAATTTGTAAAGCTCGGGGTTCGTTAAACCACTAGGTTATTTAAGGGTAGCTTTTACTGTGAAGACTGTCACAGAGCGGCAAAGTACATTAACATCTGGGAGTTTTCGCCTAAACTGCCTCTAAAAATTTAGTCATAAATGATCTGGTTAATGCAGTGTGGATGGACATTTGGATGAACAATGGATACATATTAGCTACAACGGGTTTTCAGCAGTATGGCTAAAACACATAATGTCCGACCCAGTCCTGCTTCGATGAAAATGCTGATTGATAGGAAGTTTATGTGAGATGTGATCCTAAAAAAATACTTTTATCAAGAATTTGAACAGTTTCCTGAAGTCTCCGAAAGTTGTGGTGGTTTATTCTCTTTGTTAAAAACTTTTAAGGTCTTGAATGATACTTATATACACAAATATTTATATAATTACGAGTACTTTAAAGGCAAAAATTGATTAGCTGAAACAAACATAGAGTTTTGGTCTAACCAGAAGGTAAGCTAATCTGAAAGGTCAAGAGTTGAGGAACAATGGCACTGAAGCTGTTTGGGAAGGGGGGGGCGCGGGTAATGGGCATGAAGCATTGAGAAGCGTACTGGAAACTGTCTTCAGAGTGAAGGAAATACCTTTATCTTGTTTCTCCTTCTTAAAACCAGATAGGAGTTCTTCCCTTTGAAAATTGCACAAGGGATGAAAACTTTGTAGTTTGATAGGTAGAAAAGGTAAAAGCCCTAGGGCAGGGAGTGGGGTGAGAGGAGGAAGGGCTCGAGGCCCCCCCCCCCATAAGGCCTGCCGCCTGGTGAGGGTTAGAAGGGAATTTTGGTGACCAGAATTATTGGCTGCTGGCACGTGGGGGCTGGGGTGCACGAGGCCGGCCTACTATGTGCAGTGTGGGCGGTCTTAGGGAATGCATGGTTTGTGCTAAATTTCATGTTCTTGTGTATAAACAAATTCAAACCAAGGGATTATTACCGCTTTCTGTTGCTTGTAGTACTTACTTGGCATTAGTACAGCGCTCTATATTTGTAAATTCAACAGAGAACAACTGAGCTATAGAAAGCCACAATTAATTTCTGTATGACTTCATTTCCATGTGAAGAGGTGGGCATAAATTCAAGTTTTTTAAATTACCCGTTTGTTACCTTACTAATCTTATAAAACTATGGTGTTTTTCTGATTTTAAAAGTAATACCCTCCTTATTGTATAAAACGATTCATGATAGAAAAGTATAAAGAAGAAAAACAACAGCAAGCGGGTTAAATTCTAGTGCCCACAATAATTATTTTTAATATTTTGGTTTGTTTTCTGCCAGATCATTTTCTCTATATTGATATATATTTTACATACTTGAAAACATACTATATATATATTCAATTTTACATCATGCTGTTCTCTTAATATAGGCATTTCTCCAGCATTATTATAAAAACTCTTCATGAACATTTTAGTGACTATAATATGCCATTGTATGGATTTACCATAATCTTTTTAATCATTTTTTATTATTAATCACTAGGCTGTTTCTGATTTCTGATATGTGAAATACTAGGATTTAACATTTATTGAGCACTCTGTACTAGGCACAGTTCTAAACTCAAATATATACTCTCATATAATCTTTACACCCACCTTGTAAGGTAGGTGCTGTTTTTGGGTTTTTGTTTTGTTTTGTTTTGTTCTTTAATAGTCATTTTACCGATGAGGAAACTGAGCCCAAAAAATTAATAATTTGCCGAAGGTCACATAGCTAGTAAGTGGTAGTGTCAACTTCTAAGTCATATATACCACATAAAGTCCAATCAACATTTTGATTCCTTAGAATATATATTTTGAGAAGTATATAGGAAAGCCTAAAGGTAATTTATATGTATGTATGTATATGTACACTCTCATAGTTTTACATAGATACCTTGACTCTAACTCTTTTTAAGGTTTCTTATTCATATAGCCATGTTTATAACCCCCCAATACTGGAGTGTTTCACACTGTCACTTCCGAATTACCATTTGGTTAAAACTTTGCTAATTTAATTGGTAAATAATGTCTCGTATGGTTGGAAAGTTTTTTCATGTTATGTATTTTTCATTTTAGTGAATTGTCTGTTCATGTCTTTTGCCCATTAAGTTCCTGGGGTCCTAGTGTTTTTTGTCTTTCAAATGTAGCTATTCTTGTATTGTTCAATTACCAACTAAAACAGTGATTTTTAAAAATCATATTTGTATTTTCCATGTCTATTTTTTGAAAGCAAGCAGAAGAAAACCTACATGTAAGTTTTAGTCTTAACTGATCTCCTGTTTATAGGTCTTGAATGGTTTTTCTCAAAAAATTACAGGTAAGAGACAATATTAGAATCTTACTCAACAAATATTTAATAGCCTGTCATGTACCAAGCATCACGATCATCAGCTCTGCAGTATAAAGACTAATGTGACCAGTAGCTCCCCTAAAGGAACTCCTCAGTATCTAATAGGGGAGACAGTTCCAAAAAAATCCTTGTAATAAGGATTAATAAGTCATAGAACTATAAACCAAATGTTGGGGAGATGGGAGCTAATGGGGAGAGGAGTTCTATGTAGCTCAAAAGTATTAAATCAAGGACAATTTAATGGTGCTAATCTGCAGGTCCAGCAGAACACCTTGTAATAGCTGGGAAGGGGGCGTATTGTGGGATAAGTTGTTTATCAGAAACACAGCATTTGAGCAATCTCATGTAAGCCCTGATAGTATGGATAAGACTTTCTTTCTGCACATCCCAGCCCTAAAACAAGGTAGTCTTTGTTGAAAAGACTCTCTCCTTCAGATTTATCCAGGTGGGCCTGATCCTATCTTGAATCCCTTGGCTTCCCGCCAGCCTTCAGGATTCTACCTCAGTCCCATGATTGAGCTTACTTGAGGTTATCTGCAAGTCTCTGCAGTGGCCCTCATAGGAACCCGTCTCTGGCAATGTGTGTTGTAGGCCCAGATAGGACATGGCAGGGAGGCCTCAGTCCAGATCTTGGTTTCTTACCAGTATGAAGGGAGCGAGACAAGGCCCAGGATCCTTGCCTGAGTTAAAGAGTCTCATCTGCCAGATTCTCCATCGTCCCGATGATCCAGTTTTTACTGGATATGCTGTGATGTCTTCATCAGCCTCCAAAAGTGACAGCCACGAGTTCAAGGTATGGCAGAGAGTTCGCAGTCATGTCGTAGGGAGACACAGTGGCTCAGCCATTCCAGATCTCCTGTCCTTAAAGCAGCGGCAGACCCTCTATTTCTGCGTCCCACGCTCTTCCGGTTTTGCCCTGGAAGAGTCTAGCTCCCTATAAAGGTCAGACTCTAGGAAGCCCTAACTGGGTCAAAATGGTTCCTTGTCTGTAGCTTCAGATTGTGACGTTTTAGTGTCTTTTTTTTTTTATGGAAGTATAATTGGCATGCAATATCCTATTAGTTTCAGGTGTATGTGATAGTGATTCAGTATTTTTCTACATTACAAAATGAGCCCCATGATAACTGTAGTTGCCATCTGTCATCATACGAAGTTATTACAGTATTATTGACTATTTTCTCTATGCTGTTCATTACATCCCATGACTTACTTTATAACTGGAAGTTTTTGCCTCTTAATCCCCTTCACCAATTTGGCCCAACTCCTAAATCCTGGTTACTATGATAACAGTTTGTTTCTTGTATCTGTGAGTCTGTTTCTGTTTTGTTTGTTCATTTGTTTTGTTTTTTAGATTCCACATATAAGTGAAATCATATGTTAACTTGTGTTTCTCCGGCTTATTTCACTTAGCGTAATACCCTCTAGTTTCATCCATGTTGCAAATGGAGGGATTTCATTTTTTTTTTTTTATGGCTGAGTAATATTTCTATATATATATGTACCACATCTTCTTTATCCATCTTTCGATGGACACTGGGGCTTCCATATATTGGCTATTGTAAATAACGCTGCAGTGACCATAGGGGTGCATATATCTCTTTGAAATAGTGTTTTGTTTTCTTTGGAAATACCCAGAAGTGGAATTGCTGGATTGAATGATCTAATTTTAATTTTTTTAAGGGATTTTTACCAATTTCCATTCCCACCAACAGTGTTATGGGGGTTCCCTTTTTTCCACATCCTTGCCAAGACTTGTTATTTCTTGTCTTTTTGATAATCTGACAGGTATGAGGTGGTAGTTCCTTGAAGTTTTAATTTGCATTTCTCTCATGATTTAGTGGAGCATCTTTTCGTACACCTCTTGGCCATGTATGTGTCTTCTTTGGAAAAAATGTCTATTCAGTCCATTTTTTTATCGGGTTTATTTGATGTTATGTTGTGTAAGTTCCTTATATAGTTTGGATATTAACCCCTTATGGGATATATGATTTGCAAATATCTTCTCCCACTTAGTAGGTTGACTTTTGGCTTTGCTCATGGTCTCCTTTGCTGTGCTAAAGCTTTCACATTTTCGTTTCAAATAGTTGTGTGACAGCACCCACCCTAGTGTTACGGTTCTGGTAAGAATAGCGTGTGTTTATTTTTAAAGTACAACTTCTTTAACTGAAGCATCATGGTTCTAAAATACCCACGTGAGCTAATTCCCCGCGTGTGAGGACGTTAACTGCTGAAATACTCTTGAGACCTCTGGTCCCTGAGAATGCGGTCACACCAGATTCTGGGGAGATTGAAGGACACCACCCCTCAGGAACTAGAAAAGGTTTCTAGGGGAAGAATGTGGCTTGTTTTTGAAATACCAGCTATTCAAGTTTGATTCTTATTTTTTTTTTTTAAGATTTTATTTATTTATTTGACAGAGACACAGCGAGACAGGGAACACAAGCAGGGGGGAGTGGAAGAGGGAGAAGCAGGCTTCCCGCCGAGCAGGGAGCCCGATGCGGGGCTCGATCCCAGGACCCTGGGATCATGACCTGAGCCGAAGGCAGCCGCTTAACGACTGAGCCACCCAGGCGCCCCTTAAGTTTGATTCTTCCTGAAAAAGCTTTCTATTAACACTTGAGATGAAATCTGTAGCCAAAAAGGTAGAATGCTAAGAAATTAAAAGAAAGGGGGATTGGATTGGATTGGAGAGGATAAAATGAAGCCTGGGTGCAACCAGAGGTTACATGCGACCTTTAAAGGTCAGAAAACGAACCTGGAAATAGGACTGAGCATAGGACCTTGGGAAAGGAGGGGAAGTTGGGAGGGAAAGGATGCATTTATTGTCAAATCACCAAATCTTGTTCATTTAATCCCTGAATATCTCTGCTAATGCCCCTGTCTACTGCCCTGGGGCCTTGCCTTCTTCATTTCTAATTTTATCAACTTCCACAAGCTAACTGAACCAGCCTCACCCTCTTTCATCTTCCTGTTGGTGAGCTAAGCCACACGACGGATTTTCTCTTATTAAAATCTTCCTGTGCCTTTCCATTGCCTGTAGGAGAAAATACAAACTTAACAGAGACTAGCGAAAGACCTTGACATTCTGGGCCGTGCTCATTCTGCCAGCCTCAGGGCTCGCCATCATGGACACAACCTAACCAGTTACGCAGAACTTCACGCAGCTTCCCCACCCGCCTCCCTGACCGGGCACTGGCTACTGCTTTTGCCCGAATGTCCTCTCCTTGGGCCACTGACTTTGAACCTTTAACTCAGCTCAGGTATCTCCAGCAAGTCTTCCATACATGTCCTCAGGCTGGATGATATCCCACTTCTCTGACTGTCCAGAGCTTTATTATGACTTGTCACGTCATATTGCAACCGCCCCTTAACTGGTTTGCCCAATAAACCTAACTGCTTAAGTGAAGGGAGTTCAGCTTTGAACTCCCAAAGACTGGCCCTGTAGGCACTGAATACATTATATGCCTGATGAATGAATAAATGACAGGCATTATTGCTGCCTTCAAGCTTCAGACTGCTAAGGGTATTCATAAGTTTAACAATTAGAAAAACAGCTCCAGACTGTTTCCCAACACAAACCAGCACTGTGTGCTGTATTTCCATTGTCTTATATGGAGATTCCAAGGAAGGAAGAGATCAGAAATGGCACAGGGCAACTAGTATGCTCTCTTTGTAAAACGTACTTACACAGCTGGGCCCTGAATGAGGAGTGAGGTCTGAAGAAGCCTAACAGGAGAAAGCGAAGCTTTTCCTTCCATGCTCTGCTTAGGTGTGTGCTTCATGCAGTTAGCCTGTCCTGTTTGGAGCCTGGCCCCTCTCCTGAGCCCGGCATGTAATGGCTGTGCTGCCTAGCTGGTAATTAATGTGATTTCTGGTATTGTTAGGTCTTATTCTGTCAATAATTGTGGAGGGAGCGCCTACCATGTGCTAAGTGCTGGGTGTACAGCAATAACTAAGATAAACATAGTCCTTACTAACCATGTTGAACAAACCCATAAATAGTTGTTTACTACGTTTGTGATTAGTGCTATGAAGGAACAGTTCACAGGGCTATGTAATTATTTAATGAAGGTCTAAGTTGAAGGTCAGGAAGGGCCATGCTGAGGAAGTGACATTTGCACTTTCCCCTGCAGATTCGGTAGGAATCAGACAAGGAGAACGGGTTTCTGAGTGGCCAAGTGGTGGTGGTAACAGCACGTGTAGAAAGACTCCAGGAGGGAAAGAATCGGGTGCGTTCCAGAAGCAGAAAGAAGGTT